CAGACTTGCAAGAGTTCATCACTGTAGCTATTCTAATCAAAATAGTTTTAGACCTATATGGCACCGATTTCTTAGTCTGGTCTACCCTACAAGGATGACCACAAATACATCTTTCACCCTCTGAATTCAGCTGTGTGAAATCATGCCTCTTTCTCTCTCCTTCTCATATTTATAGAGTTATTCTTTTATTGAATTTTGCTGCCAATAAGCCTTGGTATGTGAACTACCATAAATATGAATGGACTTGGTCAAAATAGTTTATGAATGGCTTTTATTAAAATGAGGTTTCAGTATAGTTTACAAACATACCATGTTCAGTTCCAGCTAGGATTCCTTGCCTTCAAAAAGACAAGGAAATTCACGTTGGTTTTCCTTTGACCTTCCAGAATTTTGGCTCTACCCCAAGCCTTGACTAAACATCACAGCGTTAATTCAGTAGATACTGGTAATGAACTACATGTTCAGGGTGCGGCCAGAATTCAGCATTTTGCAAAAAATAAAAATTAAAAATTAAAAAATGGTTTGACAAAAGGCAAAACGTCTGCCAGATTTTGTGAAAGCATGCTTGTCAAGGGAAAAACTCACTACAATTCAGCGCAATGCAATGAAATGGAAGACATATGGACGCTAAAGTTTTGCTACCATGAGTTATTAAAGTCGTTTCAAACAAAAGCAACTTTGCCAGAACTTTTGCTTAGCATCAGCAGCAGTGATATTCTCCATGGGCTTTAAACCTTTTTCTTCTTCTTCTTCTTCTTCTTCTTCTTGGTTGGAAAAAGGTTTCCAAAGTGGAACAACTTTTTAAGAGCAACGTTGCAAGACCAGGGGATCAAATAAAGGATTTTCTGGTTTCGTTTCAACAATTAGTACGGTCTGCACCATTTGTTACAGATTGGCAAAAACTCATTTGAAGAGATTGCCGTCACAGCTGTTAGCAAATGTTTGTTAGGTTAGTGTAAGCAGGAGTTATAGACTATTGTACTGGATTATTTGCTTTTGATTTGCTAAGAAATCTAAAGACACGACTTGGTAACTGCCTCACAAATAGATGATAGAACGACGGAGCCTTATAAAATGTCCGCATTCCAGTACAACAACGTATATTTAGATTTTTAAGGACACTGCTTTATAACCGGAATGGGACTTTTAATCTCTGACTTTTCATTCTCCTCGGACGATTCTCCCCCGACTTATCTCCTCAGCTGGCATGCCTCCAGTCATTTGCCGTGGGGAATGGGCCACTGGCCTCTTCATCCCAGACCCTTTGACACGGCCCATTCGCAGAAAGAGGGTTCGTCCTGGGTGTTTCACCCTCTGTGACACTTCGCCCCCAACCAACTGGCTAGAGGGGATGTAATAGAAATCCAGCCAAAGGAGAGAGGTGTAAAAGAATTTGCCAAAATGCCTTCCTTCCTTCCTTCCTCTCTCCCCCCCCCCTCCCCACCAATACAGGAAGGAAAGTTGGTTCACTCAGAAGTAAGTCTCACTAAATTCAATGCTAGGATTTAAATCCAGCGAAAGAGGAAGTCAGGCATTCTTTTACACCTCTCTCCTTTCCCAGGATTTAAATCCTAGCATTGAACTTAGTGAGACTTACTTCCGAGTAAACCAACTTTCCCACTGGATTCGGCATTTTCAGCCACCTATTGAGTTCTACCCAAGGACCTGAGATAGGCGGATATTGATGCTTTATGGTGTTAAAGATATCTTTGCAGGATGTAAGCTCTTCCAAGTAAGGCTGCCTTTTGCAATTGACTTACAGTGATTTTGTAACTATTATGTTTATATTGGTAAACGCCATTCCATAACTCTGAATTTCCCTTAAACGCTACCCAATCTGGAACAGGGAAATTCCAAGGTGAAATTTCTCTTTGGGTGTGTGTGTCAAGAGCCAAGGAGGCAGCAGACTTATCAGGAGTATACAGTGAAATTCCTAAGATTTACACATATTCCTTGTTTGTTAGGCTTCACATCAACAGTGGCAATAAATCTCAGCTTTCCAGAAACTCAGCCTTGCGTTCAGGAGCTAACAGCAGAAACTTGGTAGTCATGATTCAGCTAGTTAAATTGCTTTGCTGCAGAGAAGAAAATCATATTAACGGAAAAACAAAGTTGGAAGGGACCTTGGAGGTCTTCTAGTCCAACCCCCTGCTCAAGCAGGAGACCTTGGACCAAGTAGCTGTCCAAGATCTTTTTAAAAGCTTCTAGTGATGGAGCACCCACAACTTCTGAAAGCAAGCTGTTCCACTGGTTTATTGTTCTCACTGTCAGGAAATTCCTCCTTACTTCTAGATTGCTTCTCTCCTTGATTAGTTTCCATCCATTGCTTCTTGTCTTGCCTTCTGGTGCTTTGGAAAATAGTGTGTCTTCTTTTCTTTGTGACAATGTCACATGTAAATGCCTAACTCCAATACCACCCCCTAAAGGTGTTAGTTATCACCTTTAAAGCGCTCCATGGCTTAGGACCTGGGTACCTACGAGACCGTCTTTTGCCACCAATAGCCTCCCACCGACCAGTTCGTTCTCACAGGGAGGGACTACTCAGGGTACCGTCAGTCAAATTATGTCGACTGGCGACTCCCAGGGGGAGGGCCTTCTCTGTGGGGGCTCCAACCCTTTGGAATGAACTGCCCCCGGAGATACGGAATATCCCTGATCTCCGTGCTTTCCGCCGTGCCCTCAAGACCCTGATGTTCCAACAGGCGGGGCTAAACATACGAATATGTGAATGATTTTTTTTTAAATGTTATCAAATTCTGGGTTTTATTTAATTGACCAAACTAGGTAATAATTTTAATTAGCAATTTTATGATGTTTGTGTGTCTATATTTTTCTTGATTATACACCACCTTGAGTCCTACGGGAGAAAGGCGGTATAGAAATATAATAAATAAATAAATAAATAAATAAATAAATAAATAAATAAATAAATAAATAAATAAATAAATAAATAAATAAATAAATAAATAAATGGTACAGTAAGGGTTAACACCCACACCCTCACCTTTCCCACAACTCCTCCTTACCTTTAGCCACGCCTCCCTAGTACTTAAGCGACATACACGAGGTACTGGGTCGTACTACAACTTCACCTGTAAGAGAGCAGAGTTGACTCAATAAATATGATTGGAACGTACCATTGATTCTGAGTATTTCTTGGGCTAGATCCTCGTATCTTAACAGGCAACCCCTTAAATATTGGGACACTGCTATCATGTCACCCCAGTCCTTCTTCTCACTAGGCTATGTATGCAGAAAATCTGCCTTTTGTAAAACACCACATCAAGTCTGGTGAGCCTGGATAGCTCTGCAGACTAAAGCACTGTAATTTAACATCAGCTGTCTGCAATTAAAGTAAGTTCGAATCTTGCCAGGCTCAAGGTTGACTCAGCCTTCCATCCTTTCTAAGGTAGGTAAATTGAGGACCCAGTTTGTGGTGGCAATAAGCTGACTTTGTATATAAATATACAAAAGTATGAAGGCTATTGCTTAACGCACTGTAAGCCGCCCTGAATCTCTGGAGAAGGGCGGCATATAAATCAATTTTTTTAAAAAGAAGTCTTCTCTTATGTATGCGTTTGTGTGTGAGAGAGCGCACAATGCATATATATGCTTCCCAGCTCCAAGGTGTAAATCCTGGGCTTTTTTTCTTCCTGTTCTTTGGAGTGAATGGACTTTGGGCTGTGTTTTTCCCCCCAGCTTTGAGAGTTGGGCAGATCTGTTTCATGTTTACATAAATGGTGATGCTGCTGTCCAACCTGAAAAGCATTGGTTCCTTCTTGTCAAACCTCAATATTCCACTTTTAAACAAACAAACGAATAAATAAATCAAAGACATCATACTCCATTCATGAGCATTTCGCCAACAGTATTTTGTCCTTTACAAGCAATTTTGAAAGCAGCTCGACTCTCACCAAAGCTGAATGTGCAGAGGAAAAAAAACAGAGGCGGTCTTGGATTTACAGTAGTGGCCAAAATTGTGGAAACCTTTTTGGGAAAAGTGTATCTTTGAGGTTTGATGGCTAATAACACCACTTTTTTTTTTTTTTTTTTGCATTTCAAGATAATCCTATTCCACTGCTGGAATGGCCTGGGAATAGCTCAGACCTTAACTCAACTGAAAATCTACAGAGTCGACTAAAGAAACTTGTTAGTCAGAAGCAAACCAGCAATAAAATCCAGTTAAAAGAAGCCAATCATTCAGTCTTGGTTTCACATTATAACAGCTGTAGAACTAAAAGACTTGGTTCACTTCATGGGAAGACGTAATTCATGCTAAAGGTTACCAACTAACTGACATGGCGATAATTTTTGAATATCTCGTTTTTTCTACGTGTTTCATTTTTCTTCTTTATATTGTAACTGCTATTCTAATAGCAAATTGTTCATAAAAGTTACTGCATTACATTCTTGATTAAATTATCTTTCCGTTGATATATAATTTTATGGTACTACTCCAAAAAAAAAAAAAAAAAGTGGTGTTATTAGCTAGTTTTAGAAAATACACTTTTCCCAAAAGATTTCCACAATTTTGGCCACTACTGTACAACATTTATTGCTGGAAACCAGAAATAAATGCAGGAAAATTCCTTTTTCGTTGTTTATTTTATTGTTCTCCCTTGCGCTGCTTAGAGAGTCCATCGAATGAGTTAATCTTCATCTGATAGGCCAGAGACTGAGTAAGAATTTGCACTCTTTTCATTTTCTTTCTTTCTTTTTTTATTACTGTGAGCTGCCTAGAAGTAGCCCCATAGCAAGATAGATGGCAAATAAATAAACTAAATAAATAAATATAAAAATTGCCATCATGTCACCATGGGACACTGTAAATGGCCATAAAGGCGATTTTGATAGTGGCATTCCTTCCATACGTGCAGACATATCCTTTATATTTATAGATAAACCTAGTTTCGCATTTATGCACGTATCATGCAAATTAATAGTAGTAGCAGTTGTAATGCTGCTACAGCAATTACTCCTATTGTCTTGTCTTTCTGTAGATCATGGGATATTCTGAATGGGATCACAAACGAGGATCAAGAGGATCTCAGGTTAGACTTTGAAAGATTTTTTGTGTGCCTGGCTAATTAAAGATTAAAGAGTATTATATATTTTGGGGCCAACCTTGCTCACAGCTATCCAGTGCCTCTGAATTATGGTTATTAAATACCCCATCTTAGTTTGTCTTTTAATAGGTTTTCATGGTGATTCACTTTCTGGTATTTTATTATTTTTATCCCTCTGTCTGCTATTTTCCTTCAGACTATTTATAGGATCGGTGTGCAGCAGTGTTTTTCAAACTTGGCAACTTTAAAAATATGTGGACTTCTGGACTCCCAGAATTCCCCAGTCATTAGGAATCTCAGCTTTTTTCATTTGTTAGATTGGCAGAATTCAACCAACTGGCCAAGTTACTCATCGTCTTTTTCTTGCTAAGCATATTTGTGAATTGCAGTAACCACAAATACCGGTACATCTAGTGGATATATTTGAACGTGGGGGCAATTCACTGTGGTTAGGGTTAGGATTCTTACAATTTTGCAATTATTTCAACTTCCTTACTCCTCGTTGTTTCTAAATGGAAACAATGCTTTTTAAAAAAAAATCTTACATAGTTAAAACCTAATATTTAGGCTTAAAACATGGCTGTTTCGCCAAGCTGGCCTGGACTGAATGGGGGTTTTAATGGGAATTTTAGTTTTTATTGTTGAATTTTAATTGGACTTGTTGTTGTTTATTGCTGTGAGCCGTCCTGAGTCCTTGTGGAGAAAGGGCGGCATATAAGTCCGATAATAAATAAATAAATAAATAAATAAATAAATAAATAAATATGCTATGATTGCAAATACCCTAATTCTGGAACAACTCTGATTTGGCCACTTAGTCTCTGTGTTGGAGATGTTTGTATTTATTGATATGGGCCATGAGTAACTATAGCAGTGATGGCTAACCTTTTTGCCGTCGTGTGCCAAAAGCAGGGGGAGCAGGGGAGTGTCGCATGTGTGCGTGCCCACACCCATAATTCAATGCCCCACCCGCGCTCCCCCCGCTTTTGGCACGTGACGGCAAAAAGGTTATCGGTGGGCCCAGTAGACCTGGTTTTTTTGCCCTCCCCAGGCTCCAGAGGCTTTCTTGGAATCTGGGGAGGGTGAAAACAGCCTTCCCCACCCACCCCGGAGGCCGGAAACAACCATTTCTGGTGGGCCTGGGAGGCCCGAAAATCAGCTGGCCAGCGCGCGCATGTGCACTGGGACTGAGCTAGGGCAACGCTCGTGTGCCGACAGATATGGCTCCACGTGCCACCTGTGGCATGCGTCCCATAGGTTCGCCATCACGGAACTATAGGGTCTGTCAAGCTTCCAAGGCAAAATCCCATTTGAACTTCATTGTGACCCAGTTCTGGATTAGAAGCAATCAGGTGAAAACTGTTGGAAAGAATAATCTTATCACCTTATTGTTGTGATCCACCCTGTTGGCTGATGAGTAAAATCTTTTATAGGTAAGGCTGCAGCTACCGTAGACTTTAGTAGTATGGTGGGGTTTTGAAGGAACCCATAATTAAAATTCAGCTTTGATCTCACTTGATCAGCATTTAAATCTAAGACTCAAAGCTTGACAGTGATAGAAACATGATCAAGGAATATCTGTCTCCTCTGAATAAGTTTAAATCTCCAAGCCAAATATGAGAACGATTAACAGAGTTGGAAGGGACCTTGCAGGTCATCTAGTCCAACCCCCTGCCCAAGCAGGAGATCCTACATCTGCCTCTACCTAGGATCGAACTCACAACCTCCTGATTTTAGGGTACTCAGAAAACTAGCTAGTATTCCTATCCATGTTTACCTATCATCTTTGAGAAATTATGGAAAACTGATAATATCCCAGAGACCTAGAGAAGAACCTATTGTACCTACCTAAATAAAAAAAAATCCACGGATCTGTTCACCAGTCAATATGAGGTCAGTACCTTGGAGGTTTTCAGAACAAATTAAAATGAGATTGTATTTATGTATAAGCACCTTGAAAAACAACTTGTTTATTTAAAAAGCAGCATGGAATTTTTTTTTTAATCGCATCGGTTTTTCGAATCATAAGAAACAATTTTTCTGTTTTATTATATATGGAGAGATCTTCTCCCTAGTATTATGACCAGTTGTAAGCTCTACTCTTTTTTGATAAGGATTATCAGAAATTGAGTAATGGGCATGTTAAGACTTTAAAAAAATGGGGTGGGATTGGATAGCATTCTTCAAGTACTTAAGAGACTGTCAAATGGAAGCCAGTTTAATGTCTCGTTCTAAATTACATGATACGGCATTATGGAGATAAGTAAAAAAACCCAACAACCCTAGGTAATCTGAAGTTGGAACTTCATCCATCCAAGAAACTTCTTCAGAACTGAAGAAGCTTCTTGGATGAGAAGCAAAATGACTTCACGAAAAAACAAAGGAAGTCCAGTTGCCACTTGAAAAAGCACCTTTGAGACAACTATGACTTGGATGACTTGAGAATCTCCATAAAAAATTGACTCCCTCCTCTACGTAACTGTAGGGTGAATTTATGCACAAAGTAACATGTGGCCATTTTGGCATTAAGTGTAGATGTCCAGCTGCAGCATGAGTGAATCTAAAGTGGAAAAATATCAATACATGAGCTTCCCTTGCCCTGTGCAATTGACTTCCTTAGAGCCATTCCATATTCGGCAAGAAGATCTCGAAAGTTGGGCTGTTGGTCTGAGTTCCAAGCTTAGCAATTTGCAAACGTTTCATCACCATTCGAGGAGACATTGTCTGTGCACTTTGAATTGTGCTCGTCTGTCCGAGCACTGGCCTTTAAATACCTTGTTATGTGATGCAAATTAGTGTGGATGTTGTTTGTTCGGCTACTTCTGAGTCATGGTTTGGCTTCGAACTGTTTCAGTGGTGGGTTCCTCCACCGTCACCGAACCGGTTCTCTTTGTTTGGGAGCTGGGCCCCTCCCACCCCCCTCACATTATTCTTACCTTTTATTTGGTCCTGCCCCCAATTTTTCGCTGCCTCCCGAGTCCCAGCTAATCGGCTGGAAGGAAAAACTCTTTAACTCTTTAACTCTGTTTAAACTCTTGCCGCGGGGCTTCAAAGGGCCACCTTACAGCTGATCAGTGTTAAAAGGCAGTGTGGTGGTAGACCAGTGCGCTCGAAAAACAAATGGTTAGACCGTGCCTCCAAAAACAAATGGGTAGACCAGTACAGCTCTACAAGCAGTTAAAAGCCTGGTAGACCAGTACCAGTACCTCTGCTAAATCCTATAGAATTGTCACATGACCATCAAACCATGCCCACAAAATAAGCCATGCCCACAGAACCGGTAGTAAAAAAAATTTAGAACCCACCCCTGGACTGTTTGATTGGCTGGCTGTTGTTAGCGAGGCATGCACGGTCTTTGTTTTAAGTACCGTCTGTATGACGTAAAATTAATGTTGTTTGTTCAGATACTGCTGAGTCATGGTCTGGTTTCGGTCTATTTGAATGGCTGGTTGTTGTTTACCGAGACGTGGTCCAATTTTTTTGTGAGCTGATGGGTTGTGATTTTCTTTTTTTGTTGTTGCTTAGCCTGTTTGTTCGTTTTAAACGCTATCTTCAGGATCACGGTTGATGCCGTTCTTTCGTTATTTATTTATTTATTTGTTTGTTTATTTATTTAATTTTTATACTGCCCCCTCTCCCGAAGGACTCAGGGCAGTGAACAGCCAGAATTAAAAACAACACAATACAAATATTAAAATACATTAAAACGAAATTAAATTATCTTTGGCTTCTCCAATTTAAAATCCCTTACCCATAAAAATTCCCCAATTAAAAAAATTGTTAACCCAGCCCAGCTTGCTGAAATAAAAAAGTCTTCAGGGCCCGGCGGAAGGTCCGGAGGTCGGGATTAGTTGTATCCCTGGGGGTAGCTCATTCCAGAGGGCGGGTGCCCCCTCTCGTTCTCAGCGATTGGTAGACTGGATCGATGTCGATTTGTCTGTTTATTGACTTATTGGTGGAAAACTGAAAAGTGGTTATAAAGCTGTTTAAACTCCTTTGCAAAGCTCCCTGCATTTGAGAGAGCCTATTACAGTGATGGCTAACCGTTTTGCTGTCGCGTGCCAAAAGCATGGGGAGGATGGGGGGGGTTGCACGCGTGCGTGCCCACACCCATAATTCAATGCGCCCTGCCCCCCATGCATGCATGCGCGACGCCCCCCGCGTTCCCCCCACTTTTGGCACGTAATGGCACAGTGGGACCAGTAGGCCCATTTTTTGCCTCCCCAGACTCCAGAGGCTTTCTTGGAGCCTGGGGAGGGCAAAAACAGCCTTCCCCAACCCACCCGGAGGCCCTCCGGAGGCTGGAAACGGCCCGTTTCCCGACTTCCAGTGAGCCCAGAAGGCCCAAAAATCAGCTGGCCAGTGCACGCATGCACGCTGGAGCTGAGCAGGGCAACGCTCGCGTGCCCACAGATATGGCTCCACATGCCACCTGTGGCACGCGTGCCATAGGTTCGCCATCACGGGCCTATTAGGTCTCTCATATCAAAGATTCCTGATATTTCAGACTTAATGAAACAAATATATCTAAACTGGGAAAGGGGAATTGGGGCAAAGTTGTTACGCATGCCTGTGCTTTGTTTTGCTTTATTCGTTCATTTATAGTAGTAATTTGTACGCCACCTACTCATCGAATTCCAGGCAACATTTTATTTTATGGATGCATTTGTTTAATAAAGCCATTTTAAATGGTGACAGGAACAAAAACCGGAACAAATGCCGTGTATATCAAAATACAATATTTTCTTTTTCTTTTCTTTCTTTTTTAATGAATTGCTACTCCCAGATTAAAACTCATTCTAAAAGCTTGACAGGAGCAGATTATATTCACCTTTGTTGGAAGAAATATCCTTCTGGATTCAGCTCCAAGTGGGGAAAAAAGACACTGGAGACATGGAGACTGCTTGGAAAGATGGTTTAATGGTGGACAGGAATCACACGGCTTGAGTTCCTGAACAGAAAAGGGGCCGAGATACAGCGAGTCC